GCCTATTTATAAGTGGTTGAATTGAGAGTGGGGAATTTGGAATTGGGCATGGTATGTCTACTGTTGGGCTACATTTACTGTAACACAGCTGTTTTTCAATCAGCTCTGCATGCAGTGAGTATAAGAGGTGAATATCCTTTGTTACTACAAGCTGGAAAGTTCCGGCAGATCAGGTTGAGCAGGTTTTTCACACACACACACACACACACACACACACACACACACACACACACACACACACACACACACACACACACACTGAAAAGTCAGTTAGGTATTTGGCTCAAACTGGTATTTTTGGTACAATACTGGGTTTCTAAGTATTAAAGGAAAACATCAGAAAATGGACCTAAGAGTAGCAGCAGTAACATAATGTGTGGTAAGAATAATGTGTGACTAATAGAAATAGCACTGACACAACATGGGCAATAAAAACAGTAACTGGCACACTTTAAACTACAGCCCCAGGATTCATGGTGTAAATCTGCTGTATGTACTGGGACCCAATAAAAAACTAACCTGTTCCTACTAATGGCTGACTGTAGAATAACAGAAACCGAGACGATAAGGAGCAAGGGAGTGAAAGTTGGGCACATCAGAGGAAAGGTGAAATTAGTTTATTCTTATTTTTCAGACAAAAAAGAAAACTCTTCACAAGAAATAAATCAAATTAAAGCATTAAAATTTATAATCTCAAAGCTGTAAAGAATTTAAATGATAAATACATGAATAGGAAGCTAGCAAAATAAACAAGCAGCAACAATCAAGTGCTGGATGTTAATGGGCAGAAGCGTATTTAAAAAAAACAAAACCGAAGATAAAAAATGATTTTCTCTCTGAGGACAAAAAACAGCTTTGCAGTATCCATCCATCCATTCGCTTCCGCTTATCCTTTTCAGGGTCGCAGGGGGCGCTGGAGCCTATCCCAGCTGTCATAGGGCGAAAGGCGGGGTACACCCTGGACAGGTCGCCAGTCTGTCGCAGGGCCAACACACAGGGACAGACAACCATTCACACTCACATTCACACCTAGTGGCAATTTGGATTATCCAATTAACCTATCCCCACAAGCTGCATGTTTTTGGACAGTGGGAGGAAGCCGGAGTACCCGGAGAGAACCCACGCAAACACAAGGAGAACATGCAAACTCCACACAGAAAGACCCCGGCCTGATGGTGGAATTGAACTCAGGACCTTCTTGCTGTGCGGAAACAGTGCTAACCACCGTGCCACCGTGCTGCTTTGCAGTACCATCATGGTTATTTTCAGTGGACTGTCCCCTTTACAGACCTGTTTGTTTTTAGCGGCGTTTCATCATTTCAGTGCTATACTGTATATTACTGTATACAACAGGAGCTTCAGTCTAGAAATATCGGTCCAAAAATGATTTTGCTACTAAAATAAATAGAAATGCTTTAATTTTACATGTTGATAATCCTTAAGTCAGGTCTAGGACACTTTCTAGGCTACTCTGTTGAAAATTTGTTCGGACTTCTTGTTCGTCTTGTTTTTAAGAGCACCATGAGCTATGATGTTCATTGAGCTAAAATGTTATTTTGAGAGTACAGGAAATAGAAATTCAATTTTCAATTCAATGTTATTTATAAAGCACCAAATCAGAGCCTCGTGGTTCTTTATAAAGAAATATAGATATTTACATGTATAGATATATTGAACATAGTACAGTGATAACCTCACCAATCAGATAACTCCCTACAAGCAAGCATTTGGTGACAATGGGAATGAAAAACTCCCTTTAAACAGGAAGAAATCTCTGGCAGAACCAGGCTCAGGGAGGGAGGAGCGGTAATCTGCCACATCCAGTTGGGAGTGACAGGAGAAAGATAGGAAAAAGGGCACTGTGGAGGAGAGCCAGAGACGAATAATAACTAATGATGAAATGCACAGTGGTGTGTAAAAACTGAAGAAGAAAGAGTGCATCATGGGACGTCCCGAGCAGCCTAGCCTTGCAGTGTAATTGAGAGTCACCTGATCTAGTGCTAACTATAAAGAAAGATATTTCCCCTGTTATTGGCAACTTTTATGGCATCATGCCATGCTTCTCTTTACATACCAAGTGCTGCCCTATCATACCTTACAGTAAATAACTCATAATAGCATATAATTCAAATTATAGAGCTTTTCACTCTCAGACTACAGGCTTTCTGATGGTGCTTCAGCGTGACTGTGAATTGTGAAGTAGAGATTAACCTGAGTCATCACTTAGTTGACCTGCAATAGAATTAGGGTTCTGTTGAACCTGCATGATGCTCTGGGAACCTCTCTTTTCTTTGCAGTCTTTCACTGTTATACATGTTACACCTCACACACACATTCATATGTACTCCAGTAACTTTGCATCTTTGTCTCATGCTGTTTGCATTTTGTCCTGTTTCTTGTTTGCTTTTCTTCTTCTTCTTGCCAGGAGCTTGCTAACAGGGAACTGTTGAATTTCAAATTTCTTTTAGGGTTATGGGGTCTTTGCCTTTCAGTAGAAAGTGCCTTGACAAGACTATGTCGTGATTTTGCACTGTCAAAATACAACTGAAGTGAAGTGAAATTCTGGCAGACTTGAATTATTATTTTTATGCAGTTGGTGAGCAAGTACCAACTACTATTTACTGCGGTAGGGTAGGTCCTGACCACTGCTTCAGGTTGGTTTATTTTCATCCCCAGCTATAGTATGAGTTAATCTACATGTCAACAAAGTAAGGTGTCGCTAGCTTTACTCTCAGCCTAATGTGACCAAAGGGTGAGACCGGCTCTTGTGTTGCTGTCAAAGGATATGTGGAACTTCACCTTTAGCAAACACAATTAATTTTAAGAGATGTTACAACCCAGAAGAGGGATTTTTAGAAGCTGCGGCTGACCAAACATTTCTTTTCTGTGATCATTAAATATCGTTCCAACGCCTTTGTTCCCTGTGCAAACAAGCTTATCGTAAACATGCAGAACGTGGTGCCGTGGCAGGCAACCAGAAAGTGATGACTCGCATAGTCTTACTTTCTTTTAGGAGTGGAACTTTATCTATAACTGCTTTCTCCCTCCATTTCTCCCTCCCATGTGAACAAACACACCCGACCCAAGCTGGTACTTACAGTAACTGAGCTAAACACACACATTCCACCACACACCTGCACATTCAGTGTTGACAGATTGAAGAATGAAGAAACTGTCCTGAGAATACACAAACACACACATACACATTGCACCTGCACTCTGTTCATCTGAAGATTTTTTTTGTTTGTTTTTTGTGGGCTTTATGTATATCTCAGGTAATAAATAATACAGTTAAGGCTTGAAAAATGTAATTTGGAGATGCTATTAGGTTACTGGGCAGTGCCACGTTCTGCTAAAAAAGTTTAAAGTGATGATTTCTTCAGTTAAAACAAAAGCTCAGCACCTTTTAAATGGTCTCTGTTTGCAAAATACATGCTAAAGGGATTGGAGAAAATTGGTTTTAAAGGAAATTGACTCCCAGAAATATTGAGTAAGCAGCGACTCTGTATATTGTCTCTGCGATGGAAACCTAGAGACCTGCTGGGCCTATCAGAAAACAGCTTATTGTTTGATAAATACACACTGGCGCAGGAGGAATATTTCCTTATTAGAAATTCAAAATCCCTCAAGGAAGAATATTGGACACAATAAATCATTTAGCACGGCCGGCCGCCTTCACTAATACTGCCGAATCAGCAAAGCACAGCCAACTCTTATATGACCATCAATTATTAACACAAGCTAACCTTATTAGCATATTCTTCTCCACAGCACAGAGACATAATATGGTGGTGGATAAATACTACTTGCATACTAGATAGATAGATAGATAGATAGATAGATAGATAGATAGATAGATAGATAGATAGATAGATAGATAGATAGATAGATAGATAGATAGATAGATAGATAGATAGATAGATAGATAGATAGATAGATAGATAGATAGATAGATAGATAGATAGATTTTCCTATGGCTCATCTCCTTCCCTGGTCTCTAATCTGGTCTAACTAAGTAGGAGCTGGATGGAATCTGACATGTGGATTATGAGGTGATTATTTATGGAGACTTTTTAATTAAAAGAAAAACTGCTTATTAGGAATCCTCAGTTCCCTCATTAATAGCAGACAGAGGAAGAGTCTGTGTTGTTGGAGAGTTGGCAGGGAGCACTAATGAGAAGGTGGAGATGGGGGGTGTTGAGGGAGAGGGGTTCGTTAGTAAAATGGCAGAGATATAAAAGCATGGTTGAGAGCAGTGAGACAATTTCACATTAAAACAATATAACCCGGAGGTGTGTGAGGTGCTCTCAGTCAATGCTATTGATTCCTCGGGGTTCCTAAAGCCTATGGCCACAGAGTACATGAAAATCTTCAGATTTATGCGTTCTTGTCAAGACTAATTTAATTTCAAAGTTGGTAACAAGTTTACAAAATACAGTTTAAGTCTAAATTTTTGTTTTCCATTGTACTTCTCACCATGGGATCCCAGAGAGACATTAAATTATTCCAGATTTAGGAATTCCACGCCAACTTAGAGTCATTGAGACAAGGCTGAAGGGGCACACTGCTTCAACTTTGCAATGTACAGTTGTCTTGTTGTAAGTGTGGTGAAAGCAATGAACACATGAATTTCATTTTATATGTGGAGACAGAGTCAATCTGGGTCAAATTGGATTCCAAACATCTTACCAAAAACTTTGATATATACTTGTAGGAAGGTGCAGCTCCTTGGCCTGAGCCAGAACATGTGGATGAAGTCTGTTGGCTGGCCTCTGCTATGAGGGCATAATGGCCCCATGCTGGTATAAATCTTTGCCAACCTTGCATTGTGAGCTCTGTGTACCACATGTTTAATGTGTGTACCAAGTCTAAGACTGGCATCACTGGTTAAAAATACTGCAAGATAAGAGTTTCAGGCTCTTAATTTTTTTTAGGTTGATGCTGTTAAGACCTTGGGTGCAATAATTTACAGTTGATGTGAAAAAGAATTTGCTCCTTTATTGGTTTCTTAGTTTTTTACATACTTGTAACACCCAGCCCAGTCGTCTTCTTATTGTTGAATGATGAACTCTGACCTTGACTGAGGCCTGCAGTAGAAAAAACACATATTTGATTATGAATTATAACAAAGTACATTATATAAGGGCAACTACTAATGGAAAGATAATATGCTTCACAATTTAGATAATTAAATGCTTCCAAAATGATTCAGTTGAGGTTTTCTACAGAAACTGATGGGCCAGGAAAGAAAGAATCCACAATGCTCACATGTTGTCTTAGGACAGCGTACCATGCATCAAACGATTGTGCATGATGTGAAATAGGCTGCAAAGAGACAAAGTTAGCAGATAGCAGGTACACACAGTAGGCTCTAGTGTGGCTATAGTACCATATTTTTTTTCTTAGGTGGAGACTGAAAGAAGGAGTTTTTGTTGTTCTTGGTCTTGTTTTTGTCCTCAGTGTTGAGATTTGAAAAGTAAATTTGACTAACCTATTGGGATACACCTGTTTATCTTGTGGGTGCTTTCAGTTCTATCCATGGAAAATCCTTCTTCCCACTCACAAGGTCTTGAATAATCAGGCCCAGTCTTTAAGTCTTCATAGTACTCTATCAGCCCAATAGAGCGCTTCATTCTCAGGCTGCTGGTTTACTTCTGGTTCCTGGAATATTTTAAAGTAGAATGTGAGGCAGAGCCCTCAACCTTCATGAGACAGACATCCTCTCTACTCTTAAGATTAGGCTTAAAACTTTCCTTTATTAATGTCATGATCCTGGGTCCTTTTGACCCAGCGTTTTGTGTTTTCTCTTCGCGATTTTGGTTCTGTTCTCTAATTGGTGTTTACCCTGTCCCCCCCCCGTGTGTTCCTGTTTTATTGTGAAGGTCTGCGTCTTATGTGAGTGTTTTCAGTTTGCCTCCCTGGTCTCGTCATGTTAATCACTCCCAGCTGTGTCTCCCACCTGTGTGTAATCTCCCTGTGTTCTGAGTGTATTTAAGTTGTATTTTCTGTCTTCGTGATCGCTGGTTCTTCTGTGTTGTTTCCCCTCGGTCTCCCTGCGTCTCTTCATGTGTATTTCCCCGGATCTCCCTGCACCGTCATTCCTGGTTTGTGTTGTTAGTTTAGGTTTTTGGTTTCATGTTCACACCCGTTGCTGTTTGTACCCACTGCTGTAAATAAACACGCACCTGCACCAGAGCTGCCGCCTTTTGGGTCCTTTCTCCAGCCACTAATCAGAAGGTCGGTGGTTCGATCCCAGGCTGCATCCTGGCTGCATGCCAAATATCCTTGGGCAAGATACTAACCCCATGTTTGCCTGGTGGTGGTGGTCAGAGGGCCCGGTGGCGCCAGTGTCGGCAGCCTCGCCTCTGTCAGTGCGCCCCAGGGCAGCTGTGGCTACAATGTAGCTTGCTATCGCCAGTGTGTGAATGTGTGTGAATGGGTGAATGACTGAATGTAGTGTAAAGCGCTTTGGGGTCCTATGGACTAGAAAAGCGCTATACAAATGCAGGCCATTACGAACCAGCCACCATGGACCCAGCGGCAGTAAATCCGTCCGAGGAGCTCCAGGACGACATTGCGTACAATGTGGAGATTCTCCTCGGGCTATGGCTGGAGAACCCTCCAGAGGAGCTTCGTCGTGCCGTGGAAAGTCGGCTACAACGGCTCTTTTCTGGCCTGCCATGGCTTCTGCAGTCGCTTCCTCCGACCATGCAGGCTTTTCTCCGGCTCACACCGCACCTTCTCTCAGCCACTCCTGCCTCGCTGCCCGACTCGCCGGATGTGATCTTGCCCGGCCCGTCGGAGCCGTCTGCAGGGAGGAAACGCCGATCGCGCCGCAAGCGCGCCACCCCACAGCCGACGTTCGGGCTTCTAAATCGCCGGCTGTGGTGAGTGACTGCATGACTGTTCATCAGGGGCTGCGTTTGTGTGGCGGATGTCAACGCGAGCTGCTTATCGCCTGTGCAGCTACCGGCAGCTCAGTTAGCTCCCCCGCAGCCACTCTCAGCTCGGTTAGCTCCCCCGCAGCCACTCTCAGCTCGGTTAGCTCCCCCGCAGCCACTCTCAGCTCATGTGCCCCTTCAGTTCAGTCTCCTGTGCCCCCTTCAGTTCGGTCTCCAGTGCCCCCTTCAGTTCGGTCTCCAGTGCCCCCCTCAGTTTGGTCTCCAGTGCCCCCCTCAGTTCGGTCTCCAGTGCCCCCCTCAGTTCGGTCTCCAGTGCGCCTGTAGCGCGCCCCAGTTCGGTCTCCAGTGCCGCCTGTAGCGCAGGCCCCAGTTCAGTCTCCAGTGCCGCCTGTAGCGCAGGCCCCAGTTCGGTCTCCAGTGCCGCCTGTAGCGCAGGCCCCTGTAGCCCCAGTGCCGCCTGTAGCGCAGGCCCCTGTAGCCCCAGTGCCGCCTGTAGCGCAGGCCCCTGTTTCCCCGGTTTCACTCATTCACTCCATGCAGGGAGAAAGTCTAATTTCACCTCAAGGTGCTTTTCACGGTTCAGCCGCCATTGGCACAGTTTGCCACTCCAGGGCTTCCCCAGAGGCTAGGTCTCAGTCCCCAGCTGATTCTGGACCCCTGAAGTCTATGCAGCCACCTGAGAACTGCACCATGTCAGCGTTGCCTGGGCAGAGCCAGTGCTCAGTGCATCGCCAGTTGCCTTCGTGTTTGCCAGAGGACTCCATGACTGCTGGCTTAGTGGTGACTTCTGCTGGAGGGTCCGTAGGACCACTCCGGCCTTCGTCTCTAGTCTCCGCTGGAGGGTCCGAGGGACCACTCGGCCTTCGTCTCCTGCCTCCGCTGGAGGGTCGAGGGGCCCGTTCGCTCCTGCCTCCGCTGGAGGGTCCGAGGAGCCCGTTCAGCTCCTGCCTCCGCTGGAGGGTCCGAGGGGCCGTTCAGCCTCCAGCCTCCGCTGGAGGGTCCGAGGGGCCCGTTCAGCCCGTCCAGCCGCCTGCTGTAGCTCATCATCATCCTCGCCTGGCCCAGCCTCCGAGCCTTCAGCCTCGCCTGGCCCAGCCGCAGAGCCTTCAGCCTCGCCTGGCCCAGCCGCAGAGCCTTCAGCCTCGCCTGGTCCAGCCGCAGAGCCTTCAGCCTCGCCTGGCCCAGCTTCCGCCTGTGCTTCGCCTGGCCTAGCCTCCGCCTGTGCTTCGCCTGGCCCAGCTTCAGCCTGTGCTTCGCCTGGTCCGGACCGCCATCGCCTGAGTGGCCGCCGTTGCCTTCCGCACGGCCGGCCCCGGACCCTCTTCGCCTGAGTGGCCGCCGTTGCCTTCCGCACGGCCGGCCCCGGATCGCCATCGCCGGAGTGGCCGCCGTTGCCGTCCGCACGGCCGGCCCCCGAACTGTCCACGTCGCCGCGTTGCGCCGCCGGTCGCCCCCGAACTGTTGGACCTGTGCTGTCGGCCCCTGGCCGGCCCCTGAACTGTGTCCACGTCGCGCCGTTGCCGTCCGCACGGTCGGCCCCCGAACTGTGTCCACGTCGCCGCCGTTGCCGTCCGCACGGTCGGCCCCCCGAACTGTGTCCACGTCGCCGCCGTTGCCGTCCGCACGGTCGGCACCCCCTGAACTGTTTGGACTCCTGTGCTGTCGGCCCCCTGGCCGGCCCCCTGAACTGTTTGGACTCCTGTGCTGTCGGCCCCCTGGCCGGCCCCCTGGACTTTTCTATTTTGGACTCTGTTTTTCCTTTGTTCTGGTGTGCTTCGTTTCTTTTGGGTTTGGGCTCTTTTTTTGTTTTTGTCTTTTGGCCTTCTGGTGCTCCGGTTTTGTTTTGCTTCGAGCCCTCCTTCCTGGGCCCCGCCGCCCGCCTGGTCGGGTTGTTTTCTGTTTTTTTCTGGCTGTTTTGTTCTTGTTGGGCTGTCTGGAGCCAGCCTTTGAGGGGGGGGTACTGTCATGATCCTGGGTCCTTTTGACCCAGCGTTTTGTGTTTTTTCTTCGCGATTTTGGTTCTGTTCTCTAATTGGTGTTTACCCTGTTCCCCCCCTGTGTTCCTGTTTTATTGTGAAGGTCTGCATCTTATGTGAGTGTTTTCAGTTTGCCTCCCTGGTCTCGTCATGTTAATCACTCCCAGCTGTGTCTCCCACCTGTGTGTAATCTCCCTGTGTTCTGAGTGTATTTAAGTTGTATTTTCTGTCTCGGTAATCGCTGGTTCGTCTGTGTTGTTTCCCCTCGGTCTCCCTGCGTCTCTTCATGTGTATTTCCCCGGATCTCCCTGCACCGTCATTCCTGGTTTGTGTTGTTAGTTTAGGTTTTCGGTTTCATGTTCACACCCCGTTGCTGTTTGTACCCACTGCTGTAAATAAACACTCACCTGCACCAGAGCTGCCGCTTTTTGGGTCCTTTCTCCACCTCCACACGGCTTGCCCCGGCAAACCGTGACAATTAAAGCTTATAGTTAGGCCTTGTTCAGGTGATTCTGAATCCTCCCTTAGTTATGCTGCAATAGTTTGCAGCTTAACTAATCTAGTTTGCCGAGGGCTTCCCATGTGTTTCTTCTTCACATACCTTTCTCTGTTTACATACCACTCTGCATTTAATCATTAGTTATTATTAATCTCTGATTCTCTTCCACAGTGTGTCTTTTGTCCTGTCTTCCTCCCCTCACCCCCAACCAGCAGTGGCAGATGGCCGAACCCTCCCTGAGTCTTATTCTGCTGGAGGTTGCATCCTGTTAAAAGGGAGTTTTTCCTTCCCACTATTGACAAGTGCATCCTCATAACAGGATATCTGATTGTTGGGGTTTTCTCTGTGTTACTATAGGGTCTTTGTCTAACAATATAAAGCACTTTGGGGTGATTGTTGTTTTGATTTGACGCTATGAAAATAAAACCAAACTGAATTTAATTCAATTCCAATGATGTATCAAATCAAGCACCTAGCCATGCAATCTGCCTTTTAAAAACGTTTGTGAACGAATTGGTCATTCTAAACGTCTCACTGAACTGAATTTTGATACTGTAATCAGATGGCAAGGTTGCAACAACCCAGTCTGTGAAATGTCTTACCTTGTAGATATTCCACAATCAATTGCAAATGATATTATTGCAAAGTGGAAATGTTTAGGAACCATAGCAACTCAGCCACAAAGTGTCAGACCACATAAAGTCACAGAGCGGGGTCACCGAGAGCTGAGGAACATAATTCGTAAAAGGTGCCAACGCTCTGCTGACTCAGTAACTGTAGCGTTACAAATCTCTTCTGACATCAATACCAGCATAAAAAATGTGAATTCAGAATGTCATTGCACGCATTTTCATTGGCTGAAAAAGTTCTGTAGGTGCAATGTGTAGGTGGCCTAGCACTTATAACCCATATAGTGTAAACAGTTAAGGTCAGGCGGACTGATCCAAATGTTGATGGTACCAACACCAGTGTTGGTGTTTGTGTTTTGTTGTGCTGTCACAAGACTCACCGGCACTGAGCACACACATCTAGGCTCCAGTGAGTGACAGCAAAGAGAAGCATCCTGTGGAAGTATTTTAAAGCTGTAAATGAAAACATTGCAAACTGTGAAGTGTTTAGGAAGGAAACTCTACTGCGGCAACAACACCACTTCATTTAGAGATATTAAAAACAATAATAAAAAGAAAAATCTGAGACCGGTACATATGCACAGACATCACACACATTAAAAAGAATTCTGGGTTTAGCACCTTACCCAGGAATTCTTTGGCATGCAGACTGGAGCATGCCAGGGATCAAATCACTAACCTTCTAACTGGTAGATGGCCCACCTGTAAGGTGTCCAGATTATAGCATGGTGGCTTCACCCTAATTTTAGCTTGTTCTCCAAATTTGTCTCCACAAACTAATTCAAATGATCAATTTAAAATGCATAAAATGCCATACAGAATCAAGCTATACCTAAATATATCCGTGTTTCAGTTTATTAATGATGAATATTTCCAATGCATCATTTTTGGTTGTCTATTTCTATGTGATTTTACTTTATGTAATTACAACCTGTGGGTGTTTTACTTTACCAAGCCATTTTTAAAATGCATTTAGCAATTTAGAGATCTTGGTTATCTCATGACCCTGCTTAGACTCATGCTTAGACTCATGACCCTGGTGCAGGGTCATGAAGCTCCATGAAAGAAATTTTTCATATTTTGAAATCATGGCATGCAAATAAAATCCGAGTTTTATTTGAAATTGGGAGTTCATTTCAAAAACTCTGTGAGAGAGAGAAAGACCCCCAGATGACCCGAGACTTATCATTTGTAGCGCCATCATCAGTAATATTGTGGTGAATGAGTCTCAGACAGGCAGTGTCTGCGGAGGAAGCTCTCATGTGGATCACATCATGAAAGAGAAAATATTACACTTTGAAAAATGACAAACCAATGGAGCATGAAAGCATGCATTGCCAAACAGCAATTACCGTTTCCTCCCTCAGCCCCTGCAGAGAAACTCCACACAGAGCACATCTACCACGCCTGTGTATACTATAAGCAGCATCATGAATTAACCAGCAGCCACCTACCCAAATTTCCAAGACAGCTCAGCCGAGCTGGCGCAGGCCTGCGGCTTCGTGCACACAGCTGGAGTGTCCACCTAATGTAGTGCATCCTGAGGTAAGCCCTGCTGTTTTGAATGAAGTATTTGAATTTGAATGCAATTGTTGTGACACGAATCCAGAAAGTCTCCCAAGCCGGTCAAATGAGGTCTAGAAAACACCAAAATGCCCCGAGCAGGGGGTGGGTTGTGTTGAGGTCAGGCTGCACACACACACACGCACACATGGACAAACCAGTGGCGAGCGCTGTTACTGGAACTCTCATATTGTCTCAGTCCAACAATGCAGCAGCTGGCACAAACAGGGAGCTATTTAACAGCCACCAATTGATGCTATGCCACCAGGTGCTACTGTGTGCCTTTCCCATCCTCATTTTATGCATCAGCAGAATTTCGTTTGCCTTTATTTTCATAGCTCAAATGCTGGAAAACAGGAGGGGGTGGGGAGGGGAGGGGTGCTGCCATAAAAGCTGATATTTACGCCCGGCTCCTGAAATGGGCCAGCGTGAAAGGTGTGACATTGTACTTTCACACAGCAGCAAAGACAGATACCTCTGCTGCCTCTTCCCGTCTCTGTGTTTGTACACATCCATGTTCAGCGGGTTACATGTGCATTTGCATGTGCTGTTCGTGTTTATGGTTGTCTGTATGTACACACAGATGCAGACTCTGCTGGGTGTCTACATCTGCATGATTGTGTGTTTCCCAGTGTGTCTCAGTATCTGTGTGGGTTGTAAGCACCAGAAATAACACACTTCCATGGGACCTTTTAAATGGACACCATCTGTCTCTATCAGGGAAAGCTTTGGGGAAACTAATGCTACGGCTCAGATGCTTTTTACCAGCGGCCAGCTGAAATGAACCGGCATCATTACTCTGGAAGGAGAAGAAAGAATGACTGTGAAACAAATTTGATAGACAAATTTCTTCGGCAGTCAGAAAAGCAGACAGAAAGGAAAGGGAATGAAATCTGACTGCATTCTTCGGGATCTAGATTGTGATTCAGTGTTATATTTACAGTGCTGGGAGGTGCAGCCAGTGAGACACAAAACATTTCTTGCATGGATACGACTTGTCATATTGTCCCAATGCAAACAAATTCTGAACGCAAACGCACACACTTTGACAAAGAGCAGCACCTGGGCAAACTCCCTGTCTCCCTGGGCCCATATGAAGAGCTTATCATTCATTGTAATGGCTTTCTTTTTTCACCGTATTTCCACTGTCCTCTCTATTGTTTTCACGGAGCACACGACTAACTGGACTGGAGCTACAGCTGATGCACCTGTGCCCCTGTGTGCGCATGTGTGGCATCTGTACTGCCTGTCTGGCTATTCATTAATCAGGCGATCGGCCTGTCTCTGTGTCTGTGTTTCTGTCTTCCAGTCTGTTCTCCTGCCTTTCATTTACACCACATGTCTGACAGCTGTCAGGCCGGCTTTCTCTCTCTCTCTGTGTCTGAAACCTCTCTGCCTCCCCTGTCAGGCACAGTGAGACAGACGCAGACGTGATGTGATGGCCACACTGTCTGATAGCCCCCAGATCCTTCACGCTTTAACTGGGCTTGACTGCGGATGAGCCTTTAAACTGCCTGCTACAATAAGGGACACGTCTGAGAGAATGGGTTTGACCCCTTGGGTCATCTCACAGATTAAGCCTGTTGGTGGGAGCGCTGGACAAACCAGCAGCCTATTCACACTTCAATAACACCCACGCACACACCAGCACATACAGTAGAATTTGATCACATCACGTCGTATATGGATGCGTTTGCGCGTGCAGGATGGGAGGAAGCAGCGCTGTGCACGAGTGCCAATGATTTGTTTGCCCGGCACATATGTTTTTATGTTTGTGTGCACCTGTGCTGTGTGTCATCTACAGAGAAAGCAGACATCACACACACAGAGACCAGGAGAAGATACCCCTGGGTTTTCTCCTGACTTTAAGCCTCCCTAATCCCTGAAAAAGATTTGCAACACTTTGACGTAATCCTTTTGCATTTTAACCCTCCTCACTCCCACATGCCTCCTGTGCTGCGGCTCTGCCAACATTGCACGTGTGATACCTTGGTGTAATTACAGGCATTAAAGGTTCTCCAACAATGAAACAGAGTGTACATTTCTAACACAGCATGTCACATGCTGAATTGTTATTTATGGGGTTATTAGGATACACAATAGCTCATATTACACAGCAAAAATACTAAAATGTGAACAGTTGTGGTGCAAAGTTTACATATACTCATTATTTTGGGCGTTTAATTATTTTTTTAAACTGTTCTGGTACCAGGTACTTTTTTAGTACCTGCTCGGCCGGGGTTCGAGTGATCCGAGCAGGTACTAAAAAATGACGCTGTCAGACTGAATGCCGCTGATTGGTCAGTAGTGTCTCTCGATGTGTCATGAGAGTGCTTTGCTCATGAAAATCAAAACTGCTATTTTTGAAACCCGGCAATGAGGGAAATGGCTACAAATGGCTCAGACGCACTGCTATGATGACAACCACGTATATTAGATAGTACTGGATTGTAATGGAAAAGCAGGCGATCTGAGTCGAGTGGTGGCGATCCGTGGCGAGTCCTTTCCCCTTTATCTGAGGCTTACAGTTTGGGTCTTCTTCCAGATCTTGGTAAAGTGGATTCATTAAGCTGCTTGGACTTTCCCATTGTTCTAAGTATTGGTCAGTCCAATGAGCGCTGTCAAAAAATGATTTTTATGGTGGTAAAGAGAAACTGCCAGTTGTAGTCAATCATGATCACTAACGGCCTTACCCTTGTTGAGTTAAAAGACGTTGTAAATTAAAAGATTAAAAAGTGAGTGTATACATATAGATTTGAGCCTGTATGCATCGTTTTGACCCTGTGTAGATTCAATAAAATCCAAACCCAATCCTTTTTTTCAAATCCATCAAAGATGGATGTCGTACAATAATTCCAAACTGGTAAAAGAACAAAAGAAATCAATAAAAAAACCCAAATTACCATGACATTCATCCCCACGATGAGTGTATGTAAATACTTGACCACAACTGCACACATAATTGATACTCCTTATTACAGTTCATAATGTGCAGCCATATATCAATATCATGGTTTGAGTAACAGCTGTAAAAGGTCATGTTCTCATGTGCTTCATATAAAAATTGAAGGACAAAGCTTTTGATGGCAACTCACTGTATAGCTCTACAGGACTGTGAGGAGCTTAGCTTGATGTTAATTAAGGCTCACGAGTGTTTTCATCTGCTTTCAGAGTATCAGTTGACAGTAGTGTCGTGTCGGTTATGGCATTTGTGTCCTGCCTGAAAACACTCTTTTCGTAAAGCACAGGGAAAGGAGGCACAACTGTTAGAAATTTGTCAGTCCCAATCCAGAGAGTAAATTCTCTGTCGCTTGCCATCTGTAATGTGTAGCACCACAAACGGGATTGTGTCAAACGTGCTGCCATGTCAGAAAAGGGATTGTCGCAAAGTTGTTTCTGTTCTGGAAATGCTTTCAGATTTATGCGCGTACATGTTAGACCAATAAAAAACCTGAAATTTCAACATGACTGTCTTTTGTTTGCTTTTCTTTATCTTTACCAAGGCAATATATATATTCAGATGATGAAGAGTGTTCTCACCGTTAGTTATGTGTGTTATTTACACTTCCTGTCACAGCAGATCACATGTTCCGTCATCACAGATATTTCTTCTTTACTGCTGGTGAAAAGAGCGTTCTCACAACTTTAGGTGTGTGTGTGTGTGTGTGTGTGTGTGTGTGTGTGTGTGTGTGTGTGTGTGTGTGTGTGTGTGTTTGGTTGGGCTGGTTGTTTAGCAGCTGTGAGTGATCCAGGTTAAAACAGTGAAGCAAACCGTAAGATGGCCCAAAATATCTGCTGGTTTTCAGCAGAGGAGGTTAGACAATTAGCAGCATCAGTTTGAACAGTAACAATCTGAAAAAGTGTGTGGATTTGCTGCTTTTACCTATTTTATACTGCTGAAGACTCTGGTCAATTGAGTTTTTTGTAATTTTGTATCTACTCACCAGCCACTTTCTGGGTTAGGGTTAGGGTTACCAGGTCGAACCCCTCAGAACTGCTTTAATTCCTCACGGTGTAGATTTAACGAGGTGCTGGAAACATTGCTCCGTCACTTTGGTCCATATTGACATGACAGCATCATGCGGTTCATGCAGTTTTTTTAGACTGCATATCCAGGACATGCATTTCCTTTTCCACCACATCCCTGTGATGCTCTGCACAGGTGTTGAACTCCAGGCCCCGAGTGCCGGTGTCCTGCAGGTTTTAGATGTGTCCTTGATCCAACACAGCTGATTTAAATGACTAAATCACCTCCTCAACATGTCTTGAAGTTCTCCAGAGGCCTGGTAATGAACTAATCATTTGATTCAGGTATGTTGACCCAGGGTGAGATCTAAAACCTGGAGTTTGACACCCCTCTATTGCATGGAGATCTGGTGCCTGTGGAAGCATTAGTGAGCAGTGGAATCACCAGCCAGAATTGCTTAAAGGAATGCAGGACGGCTCCATGCTTTCATGTTGTTTAAATTCTGACCCTGCACACAGGAATTTCACACCAGAAATTGGGACTCATCAGACAGGCCAACATTCTACAGTTATACTGTCCCGTTTCGATAAGCTGATCCAAACTGTAGCCTCATTTTTCTGTTCTTAGTTGACAGGAATAGGCCCATCAGAGATTCTCTCCTGCTTACCTTTTTCATAATGAGTCGTTACTTTTAATGTTGTCTTGATCCTCGATGCAGTCTGGCCATTCTCCCTCTGACCTAGATTAACTATGCATTTTCACACAGAGAACTGATGCTCACCAGATATTTTCTCCATTCAGACCAGCCCAATCAACAGCCATGCCACGTTCAAAGCAACTTAAAAATTATTTTCTTTCTTGATTCTGGTGCTTGGATTAAACTTCAACAGTTCAATATGACTATGTCGACATGCCTTGAGTTGCTGCCATTTGATTGGCTGATTAGATTGCTATCTTCCTTATTCCAGCCCACAT